GCGAGCGTCGTCGGTCCTAGGTGGGGACCGTGGCGAGCTGCAATGGGGTCAAATGCTAATAGCTTCATCCAAACAGCAGATCCACCCTTCGCTCCCCAGGCTCCTGCGCACAGCGTCTCAAGGCCCTGTGGCTGGTGCGGAGAGGAAACGGCTTCTCATTGTGGCGAGAGCTCGTTACCTTACCCTATGACCGTCGTGACCAGCCAAAAAAGTCCAGGTGGCAGTTCCCAAAGAGCATGTGGCCTCTCCACTCCCGAGACCTTTTGGGCACACTGGGCCAATGGCCTGGGGGTGGGGGAAGTTGCGGTGAACTTCATTGCAAACAATGATGCAAGGCAGCTTCACATGTAAGCACAACCAAACCCCTGACAGATTCCTGCACGACCACTGTAAGCAGTTTTGTACTTGTTTCTGCGTGAAGGCTGCGGAATAAGGCCAAGTAGTTGTTCATGCACCAACTTTGGAGAGGCGATGCTACAGCCAGGCGCAGCAATTCACCCTGCTACGAATGTTGCAAGTTAACCCCACGCGCTATCACCGCCAAGCCATTTTTTTCTGCATGCACTGATAGTACAGGCAATTTTAAAATGCTTACTTGGCGACCAATTGCCAGCCTTCCCGCGAGTAGAAATATATGCCCTGACTTCGAGCAGACCGTGCTGCACCTGCACGACCCACAACCAGCAAACCTGGTGAGACGAGAAGCTGGCTGTGCCACCTAATGCCATTCAAGTAGCTTAAATAGGATGGGGCAGCTCATTCTTGCAGCACAGTAAGCCGCATCAACTTGAAATCACCCGCTGGAAGTCCTGAGCACTCATTATGCGTGCGTGACCACGGGGATGGCTTGATTCATATGCACGTGGGCACTGTGCATGGTGGGAACAATGTTTGCTGATGAAGCCAAATGAATATCCTTTTTGAAGCAGGTGCTCACAAATTTGTCTTGTGGGGAACCACACACTTCTGAGTGTAATGCGTCTGCACTTGAGCGACACTGATCAACCGCCACGACAGCTGGCGGCGGAGACCAGGGAGCTTGAATGTCCTTCTGTCGCTTTGCTCAGGCTGCATAAGTTAATGGGAACTGACTCTTTATTGGCGAAGTGATTGATGTTTCCCACCGAATGGCATCAGGCTGCAGTTTGCGGCGTTCCGAGTGTGTCCCCGTCCGCTCCTCTGCCCAAGGATTTCCCCCCATTGGTTGTGGACTCCTGTCCTTGGCATCGCTGACCGAGGCAAAGATAGTACCTACGCGTAGGCTTCCTTCCCAATTGTCAATACTAGATCTCTACCTTCTGCTGAATAGAGAAAAAAGCTCTCCGGGGAGTGTCAGCCCGACTATGCGGCTGTAAAGCTTTACAGTATGAGCTGGTTGCCGCCGTACACACTCATCTATAAAGGGCAATCTGGATGAAGGCAGCTAGTGCTTACTTGGTGGTCGCTGCTGGATTTGCATCGCCGTATCTCGGTGATGCACGTGACGGTTACTTCAACGCCTTCCATACGGCCGACAGCCAGGCCTACCTCCTGTGTACCGCAAGAGGTAGACAGCCAAAATGCCTTCATGTGACTCCATCCCTTTTCCAGCCTCCAAAGCGTGGCGCAAGCGTGTCTTCCCAGTTGTATTCTATGCAGTGGTCTTGGGTACCGTGTTTCTGCTCTGATGCTTTCTGGTTTTCGGGTCGTTCAGGAAGACGAACTCCCATGGAAATTGGGTGAAAGACGAACTCCCATGGAAATTGGCGTATTCGTGCAGAGAAACAGCTCAAATATTTCTGTCACGACGGTGTGGAGCATCCGTCGCTAGGCACAGAGTGAGCTCTGGAAGTGGCTTCGCGGGGTAGCTTTTATGGTATTTTTAATTAGTAATTTATAGGTGTTGCTTCCTCTTGCAACTGACGTCTGCTTGAAGAGCGTGTCAAGCCCAACGTCAATGCGCCTTTGTTCACTTCTATTGCAGAGTGCCATGCCATTTCTGCATCGCATACTGAAGCTCTGGACAAACGGCGGAGTGCTTCTTGTGAGAGGCCAGCTCGTTCAGCCTAGGTGTGGGGTGACGGCCAAGTGAGCAATTCAGCGGATGTGGGCGACGTCGCGCGCTGTCGAGTGGAGCCGGCTGCGTTAGCAGGCCGACGTTGTGGGAAACAGGTTTTTATCCCAGAGCTGTTGCACAGATTTCTTTGCTTGCGTACATAAAATGTGTTAAAGCGCAGCACTGCAGGGGGTCAACTGACGGGCTTTGCGGGAAGGCCGAAGCTGGACAGCAACTTGCATGGAACAGCAAGCAGCCAAGTCTTTAACCTCTACAGAAACGCTACGGTGCTTGGGCGATCCAAAAACTAAGTCATAGTTCCAGGAGTCTCCTCGTTGACTGCCATTAGCATTGAAGTTTCGTCGTGTCAGATACAATGAAAACGGTTGCGATTAAATCCACTGAAATGAGCAATGTAAAAGAGGGGGCATACGCTAACTGCTCCAGTTCCTTGTGAAAGTAGCCTGAACAAAGACGACTGGCATCTGAGTTGACTGTCACGATTTCAAGGCGGATGAAAGGCTCACCGGTGTGTCTTTTGAGCCGTGAGAATGGACGTGGAGGGTAACTACGGAACACACAAGAGCTCCACGCAGCACTGGGACGGAGCAGGTGAATGCTGTAGACTGCCTCATCCCCCCATCCCCTCCACAATGCAGACCATCAATAACCTACAAAGGCAAATCCACTTCACAGGAA